ACATTTTGAGCAGGTCATGCCCCAGAAAAGCAAGCATTGCATGATCTTGTAAGACAGTGTTCCAGGGCAGTTTTTAAGTTGGCAACTTCTGGTTTCGCCTATTCAGCCGTTCTCTGCACTGCCGGCTCCGCGTACATAGACCTCATAGGCCTTCAGAGAGCCTTGTATCACAGTCAGACATAAATCCGATAGATCACACGTGGACAATCCTAGAAGCCGCAGCCTAGCTTCACTGCGCGGTGATATGCTGCCTCGAGAGGAGAACATGGCGGGCACATGTAGGATTGGAATGTCTGCTGGTTTCCCGAGGATCCTCCGTAGATTCCCCTCGACCTCCACTGTGGAATACTGTCGGATCTTCCCAGCGTAGACCGTGTCCATCAATTCTTCCCCAGTAACGGATACGTCCACCACCATGAGAGCGTCCTCGGCGCACACCACACTGTCCGGCATCTTGAACGTTTGCCCCTCAGGAATGTGGGGTTCAATCAGCACCTCATGTCCACGATCAGCAAGCTTGGAGACCAGTAATTTCATAGTCAAGTTCTGCCGCCACACTCGGGTCTGGTGCGTTATCTGACAGCACTGGAGTATATGGAAGCGATTCTCCCTTTGGCCGCACTGCCCTCGACAGAGAATGTCAGTCATCGCGCCAATCGCTTTTAGACAATCGACACTAAACTTTTATATCTTTTGGCCATATTTAACTGGACGTAATTTCACCTGAGCGACAAGCCTCATTCACTGACTTCGTCTCGTATTTTACCCGGCACATTCACCCTACGGCCAACAATTGTGGAGAAGGCTTTATTTGTCGTGAGTCTGTATAATTATTTACCTTTTGTCGTTTTTCTTATACTCATTTTGCTATCGCTATTTTTTTTGTAAGAAATGTAGTATACCCCACTTAGAGTTAGATATTTATTTTTATTTTTAGTTTAATTGCTGTTTACACTACAACTCCTACAGAGATTGGATGGTCTGGCCAATAGCCTCTCCCTTGCCGGTACGGTCCTTAACTCGGCCAAGTGTGTCTCCTTCTACTTACAAGCGCTTGGAAAAGAAAAGAGTACATGCCTCAAACTGTGCGATGTTTCAATCGGGGGGATGGTGTTGCGCACGTTAGGGCCGACGGACACTTTCGATTATTTGGGGGTGCCCTTTTCCTACCGCGGAAAGGTGACAGTAGGCAACCGTCCGGTCCTCCACAACATGTTGGAGGAGATAACCCGAGCACCTCTTAAATCGCAGCAGAGACTTACACTTCTTAAGCGTCATTGCGTGCTAAAAGTTTTGCACCAGCTGGTACTGGGAGCAGTACATCGCAACACACTGAAACGACTGGATGTACAAGTACGACAGGCGGTACGGAAATGGTTAAAGCTCCCAGCGGACACGCCGACTTCCTTCTTACACGCTGCTATTCGAGACGGGGTCCTTGGTGTCCCATGCTTGGCAGTTCTCGTTCCTTTTGTTAAGCGCCGACGACTGGATTCAGTGCTCTCCCCAAAAGAGCCTGCAGTACGAGCAGCTGCCGCTGTCCCTTCTGCCTTCCCTGGTATGCAGCTAGCAGCTCAACCGGTGCGCCTGGGCCAATCGGTCTTGGATTTCCTCTCTGGACCGACTCTTTCCATGGCTCTTCTTGCGTGACATCCACCTTCGGGCGGGTGTTCTCTCTACAAAGTCCCGCAAATCTCGGAGAACCGGCTCTGAGGAGTGTTGCGACATAATTTGGTCATGAAGCTACTAGCAGAACGTTTGATGAGCGATGGACGAGACCTGTTGATTGAGCCCCATGTCCCTGAGGGCAATTCATTCTGCAAACCAGACATCGTCATGAGCACCGAGAATTCAATAACGGTGATTGACGTGGCCGTAGCGGGAGAGGACATAATGGACCGAGTCTACGCTGGTAAAGACCGACGCTACTCAGCGGAGGAAGTCGAGGTGAACCTTCGGAGGATCCTGACGAAACCAGCCAATACTCCCGTGTCTCACATACCAGCAGTCTTCTCAGCACGCGGAACTATTTCTTCCCGTAGCGAAAGTCTTCTACGATCCCTTGGATTATCTACGTTCGACCTGTCAGACTTATGCTTGGCAGTGATTCGAGGATCTCTGAAGGCTTACGATGTCTATGCCCGTGGAGCTGGCGGTGTTGCGGATAACCGACGCGAAGGAACCCGGGAACCATATGAAGCTGGTGTCGGTGACGAAAACTAGTGGATAAACTGGCCCTGGAGAACACCAGAATGACGTCCAAACAATACTTATCCTGCCCCAGGGATGCCTAACAGACTGCTCTTCCAAAACCTTGTAGCAACATGCTGGCTCTTTCTGGGGCAAGATCTGCCCATCGTGTAATTTCATTTTCAGCATAATAAATAATTACTAGCCAAATGCCTCGTCATCTAATTAGTGACGCGCATGAATGGATTAACGAGATTCTTACTGTCCCTATCTACTATCTAGCGAAGCCACGCCACGGCCGCTAGCAAGAGCGCCACCTCTTATAACCACTCTTCTATCCTCCTCCTATTCTCGCACCTCCACCTATATCCTTGACGCTGAGGTTCGATGCCAACGCGATGTCCGCCAAGGCAACCCTCTCTCCCCTCTCCTCTTCAACTGCGCTCTCTCTGAAGCCCTCTCCTACTCCGACCGGCAGTTGGGCTTTGATCTGGCTGGGGCGACGGTGGATTCGATTGCCTATGCAGACGACCTCGTCCTATTCGCTGAATCACCTCACAGTTTGCAGCAGAGGCTGGATGGTCTGGCCAATGGCCTCTCCCTTGCTGGTATGGTCCTCAACTCGGCCAAGTGCGTGTCGTTCTACGTTCAAGCGCTTGGAAAGGAGAAGAGTGCATGCCTCTGCCCGTGCGAAGTATCAATCAGGAGGAGTGTCTTGCGCTCGTTAGGGCCAAGCAACACTTTCAAGTATTTGAGGGTGCCCTTCTCATACCGCGGGAGGGTGACGGTAGGTCATCGTTCGGTCTTGTCTGACATGCTGGATGAAATAACGAGAGCACCGCTGAAGCCGCAGCAGCGTATTGCACTTCTGAAGCGCCACTGCGTGCCAAAACTCCTACACGAACTAGTTCTTGGGACGGCCCACCGGAACACCTTGAAGAGACTCGATACCCAAGTAAGACAGAGCGTCCGCCGGTGGCTGAAGCTTCCTGCAGACACGCCGGTTTCCTTCCTCCATGTGCCTGTTGCTGATGGGGGTCTTGGTGTTCCCTGCTTGACAGTTCTTGTCCTCTTCGCTAAACGCCGTCGCCTGGACTCCGTTCTCAGTTCAACTGAGCCTGTTGTGCGAGCAGCTGCCACAGTGCCATCTGCACTTCCCGGCCTGAGGTTATCAGCTCAACCAGTGCGAATGGGCCATTCGGTCCTGGCCAGCAAGGAAGACGCGCGGAACTATTGGAGAACTGTATTGTACAACTCTGCAGATGGCCGTCCGCTTGCCCAATTTGCTAAGTCAGCCTGCGCCAGTCACGGGCTCTCCTCTCCTGTTCGCGTATTCCCGTGGCTTTATCTTCGAGGCTGAGTAGCGTCGGTCTTTACCAGCATAGACTCCGTCCATTATGTCCTCTCCCGCTACGGCCACATCAATCACCGTTATTGAATTCTCCGTGTCCATGACGATGTCTGGTTTGCAGAATGAATTGCCCTCAGGGACATGGGGCTCAATCAACAGGTCTCGTCCATCGCTCATCAAACGTTCTGCTAGTAGCTTCATGAACAAATTATGTCGCAACACGGGGGCATGATGCGTTACTTGACAGCACTGGAGTATGTGGAATAAGGTCTCACGTTGGCCACAGTGGCCTCGACACAATTACATGTGGTGAGCATGGCTGTCCAGTCATCCCCGTCCTTCTGACCCCTGTTGGGGTGTTTCTTATGAAAATCCTGGTCAAGTGTTTGTTGTATGGACCAGGGGGTGTGGAGTGGAGCGCCAGGGTGTCGTCTCGGCCGCGCCAGCCACCTGCACCCTCTCCCTCCTCCGGTCTTCTTGAATCCGTCTTGTCACCGGGTCCAGATGGGGAGTACGGAGGAGAGAGTGCAGTATAAGCAGAGAAAGTCTACACTCACAATATACTGATTCACGCCCAAGTCACCGCGCCTACTTCATCTTGCTGTGGAGCACATTATGGACATCGTCGGATGCAACGGTGCACTGGTCATAGCACCGAATGGGCCATCAGCAGCTGATGTCCTCGCCCCCAAAGCCTTTATCCTCAGAGCCGGTTCTCCGGGATTTGCGGGATTTGGTAGAGAGAACACCCGCCCGAAGGTAGATGCCACGCAAGAAGAGCCATGGAAAGACTCGGTCCGGAGAGGAAAGCCAATGATTGGCACTGGCAGATTCAGCAAAGAGAGCGAGCGGTCGACCGTCCGCGGAAGCATAGAGAGAAGTCCTCCAGTAGTTCCTTGCGTCCTCTTTACTTGCCAGGACCGATTGGCTCAGACGCACCGGTTGAGGTGCTAGCTGCATACCAGGGAAGGCAGAAGGGACAGCGGCAGCTGCTCGTACTGCAGGCTCTTTTGGGGAGAGCACTGAATCCAGTCGTCGGCGCTTAACAAAAGGAACGTGAACTGCCAAGCATGGGACACCAAGGACCCCGTCTCGAATAGCAGTGTGCAAGAAAGAGATTGGCGTGTCCGCCGGGAGCTTCAGCCACTTCCGTACCGCCTGTCGTACTTGTAAATCCAATCGTTTCAGAGTGTTGCGATGCACTGCTCCAAGTACCAACTGGTGCAAAAGCTTAGGCAAACAATGACGCTTAAGAAGTGTAAGTCGCTGCTGCGGCTTAAGAGGTGGTCCGGTGATCTCCTCCAGCATTTTGTGAAGGACAGGACGGCGGCCTACTGTCACCTTTCCGCGGTAGGAAAAGGGCACCCCCAAATAATCCAAAGTGTCCGTCGGCCCTAACGTGCGCAACACCATCCCCCCGATTGAAACATCGCACGGTTGGAGGCATGTACTCTTTTCTTTTCCAAGCGCTTGTAAGTAGAAAGAGATGCACTTGGCCGAGTTAAGGACCATACCGGCAAGGGAGAGGCTATTGGCCAGACCATCCAATCTCTGTAGGAGTTGTAGTGCAAACAGCAATTAAACTACAAATAAAGATAAATATCTAACTTGAGTTAGATATTTATTTTTATTTGTAGTTTAATTGCTGTTTACACTACAACTTAGATCTAAGTGGGGTATACTACATTTCTTACAAAAAAAATAGCGATAGCAAAATGAGTATAAGAAAAACGACAAAAGTAAATAATTGTACAGACTCACGACAAATAAAGCCTTCTCCACAATCGTTGGCCGTAGGGTGAATGTGCCGGGTAAAATACGAGACGAAGTCAGTGAATGAGGCTTGTCGCTCAGGTGAAATTACGTCCAGTTAAATATGGCCAAAACATATAAAAGTTTCGTGTCGATTGACTAAAGGCGATTGACGCAAATCAGTGCAATGAACGAAACAATGACACTAAGTACCGACGAACACAGAAGTCGGGCTTTTTTACAAGTCGAAACCATGTGTGTGAATTCTAGTTGGTTTAAACAACGGTACAGAAACGTTTAGGTATACAAGAAGGTTTAGATTAAAAAATCGAAAATGTGCGTCAACCTACAGAGTCGATGAGGCGATTCGGCAAAAAGCACGAGATCATCTGCATATGAAATGCAGTCCACTGTTACTCCATCCAACTCGAGGCCAAGCTGTCGATGAGAATGGGAAATAGCTTTACTAAGTGCACAGGAGAAGAGAAGGGATGAGAGGGGGTCTCCTTGGCGGACACCAGGCAGGCATCGGACCTCAGTGCCAAGCATATAGGTAGTAGTTCTGGAGTAGGAGAAGGTTAGGGTATTAAGAAGTAGAGGTGGCGCTGCGTGTACGGCGGCGGCTCGCAAGCGCGTGTCATGGTTCACGGAATCAAAGGCCTTCGCAACATCTAACACGGCCACAGCAATGGATCTTGGAGCAGAGACCGCATGCTGTAACATTCCATGAGGTGAAGCCGTCGCCTCTGCCGTCCCATCCCGCTCCTGGAAACCAAACTGGAAGTGGGCGGTAGGACAGAGGCGTGACCAACTGTCAGCATTAATACGGTTTAGTAAGCGAGGGATAATGTTGGAGACTGCTATAGGGCTGTACTCCAAAGGAAGATGAGGACGCTGAACCTTGGGGATCAAGGCGGATCTGCAAAAGCAATGTTGGGTTGGGAGATTGCCAATCGCTAGAATCACATTCAAAAAACCAGCAAAGCCAGCCGGCGGACAGAGCAGCAGATCTTTCGCAAACAGACCATCAATGCCCGACGCTGAACCCTGCATTAGGCAGAGATTTCGAGAAACCTCAGTCGGGCTGATAGGACGGATGATATCCCAAGCAACAGTATGTGGATTTGGAGTAGGCCGCAGGTCCGGATCACTGGGGCGCAACAGAGCTCCCGCCACAAGTCCAGCATTCCAGCTGCCAACGGTGGATCTGGAAAAGGGGCAATGCGCCAGCCACCCGAAAATATGCACTGGACTCCGGCCTTGTGAATATAGCGAGACGAGCTAGCGAATCCGCCTAATGAGCTAGGCGTTGCTGCGGCTGGAGGTGGGGCGCGCAGCTGCGAAAGGCTGTCGGAATAATCCCGGACTAAATCACTTCGGAAACAGAACAGTCGCATGCGAGACAAATAGCACAGCAGCTTCAGGTAACCTCACGCGGTTTACCCGCGCTTGGTTGAATTTCTTCACTTTGACATTCAGAGCACTGGGCAGAAATCACATTGCGTCAAAACCGATCAGCAGACATCGCAATGCTTTGTTTTAATTAGACAGTCGGATTCCCCGAGTCCGCGCCAACGCACCCCGCAAATTTTGGCATTTCTTATTGCGCAAAGATAACGCCTGCCCCCGTGTTGGTGCAGCGCATCTAACACGTGGCGCGTTTTGAGGGACAATCACACACACACACACACACACGACATTTCGACCGTCGATTTCGACGATGTCCACCGTGTGCCCCACTGACTGCATTATGGGAGCAGGGACGGTGACTTACGCAGGTGTTTATTGTGCCGGTAGACTGGCGTAGCATCTACCTACACTCTCTCCTACTCCCCCGCCTGAGCCCGGTGTCAAGACAGAGTCAAGAAGACCGGAGACGAGAGAGGCCGCAGGTGGATGGCTCGGACAGATCCTCACCTTGGCGTTCCACCACACCTCTGGCACACACAACAAATAACCAGGATTTCAACCAACACAAGAGAGCTTTTGAGGCTAGCACGGCCGAAACCGCACCTGGGCGTGCCGCCAACGCCTGGCTCGGATCCCACACTGTGATGGGAGTGCCATAAAGGCCACATTGAATAGAAGCCATTGCAGCCTGACTCTCAGACCGCCTCCAGTGAAGGAGGAGGTCCAAGTTACCCCGTCAGTTGGCAACCTTCCAAGCCACGGCTTTTAGCGCACCGTGATAGCTTCAAGCGCGTCAGATGGATTATAGTGAGGAAAGTGCGCTGAGTCGTCGACCTCACTCTCCCTTCCCATTCCCACACCCCAGCCGCTGTCCGAGCCGGTCAGCAGACTGGAGTGGGGAATGGGCGCGGTGGCTGTCATGGTCGACTGACCATGACTGCGCGCGCCACAGCACGACCTGGCCCCCCATACACACAAAACCAGGATTTCACACAACGGGGGTTGAACGGCGTGTCCCTCACTTGCGTGAGAGTGCCGTGGAAGATGCGGTTTCAGCCCGTTCCCAGCCCGCCAGTCCGCCACTCCACACAGCACACACACAACGCGACGAACTGCGTGAACCGAGAACGGGCGTCAATCAGCAACCTTCCTATCCACGACGCTTGACGTGTCGGGATAGTCTTGGACTCAAGTCACCCGTGAAGCCGAAGCCGCATGGGGACCGAGTCGAGACGCGGACTTCCCACTTGCGTGGGAGGTGGCAGATGGGTGCATGAGGTGTGTGAGTGTTGATTTCTGGTGGGGTGATGGTGGTGGTGGTGGTGGAGGAGGTAGGGGATGAGTGAATGTGTGGTGTGGCCGGCGGTTGTCTACCGCAGGTCGTCGTGGATGCGCATGTGGCCGAATAGGCTCATGCGATGCCTGAAAGTGCGAGGACAGTGTGGGAAGTTGGTGGGTATAGGTGGGTGCTCCAGGCACTTGTTCGCCGGTCTCTGTGCGATGGATTCGCAAGTGACCGACCAGGCCGATGCGTGAGGTGAATGAGCATGGACATTATGGGCATTAGAAGTCGCCGGTGTCAGTGTCAGCTACAGAGGAGGCGGTGGTGTTGGTGGTGTCGCGGACGGATGGAACGAGATTGGGGGTGTGCACGGTGGATGTGTTGGATGTAGTGGGTTTGTCGGGAGTGCGGTCAAGGCCGCTCTCGTGGATCCGCATGTGGCCGAAAAGTCCCATGCGAAGCCTGAAGGTGCGAGGGCAGTGTGGGCAGTGGAGGCGAGTGCGGTGGGTGTAGGTTGGTGCTTCACGCACTGGTTCGTCAGGCTCTATGCGATGGATTCGCAAGTGACCTACCTGGCCGATGTGTGAGGTGAAGGTACGGTCGCAGTGAGGGCAGTTGCAGTCCTGATCCTCATCCATGGAGTCGGGGGAGGTGGTTGTATTGTCGGTTGCTGTGCGTGGGACAGTCGCCTGAGCGGCCGCCGTTGGAACAGTGGGCGAGGAGGAGGAGGAGGAGGATGAGGAGGAGGAAGAGGAGGAGGAGGAGGAGGATGAGGCGAAGGAGGCGGAGGGGGATGATGGAAGTGGTGGGTGCGAAGAATTGTCAGGGTTAGTTGGCGGCGAAGAGGAGGAGGAAGAGGATGGCGGGAGGATGAAGTTTGGTGCAGTTCGAGAGTTACAGTTAATCAGAAGATGTCCAACAAGTCCGATTCGAGCCCGGAATATCCGTTGACATCGAGGACACATTGGAAACGGTTGTGCGGCGGCGTTGCGTATTGGGAGAAGTTGTGATTTGCGGGCTTCACGTTTCGCTTTGGCGGCGGCGATGCGATTGCCTTCGTAGATCGCAGCGCCTGTCTTCACTGTCCTCCTCCATGTCGGTCAATCGAGTGCGAGCTCCTCCCAGTTGGTGGGGTTGATTTGCAGACGCTTCAGGGAGGACTTCAGGGTGTCCTTTTATCGACGAATTGGGCCTCCTTGTCGGCGAGAACCCGTCGCGACGTCTCCGTAGAAGAGTCTTGGGTAGTCGCTCGTCGTCCATGCGCACCAGGTGGCCGCTCTAGTGCAGCTGCATTTGTCTCAACATGGAGTAGATGCTGAGCATTCCCGTTCGTTCCAGCGCATCAGTGTCGGGGATGCGATCCTGCCAGTTCAGCCTCAGGATGCGATGAAGACAACTGAGGTGGAAGTGGTTCAGTCGGCGTGCCTGCTTTGTGTACACCGTCCAAGTCTCCGCTCCATACAGTAGCGTCGGCAGGATGACAACCTTGTACATCTTCAGCTTCGTGCTCAGTTGGAGACCATGACGATTCCAAACTGTGCTTTGGAGGCGACCGAAGGCTTGACTGGCTTTCGAGATCCTGTTGGTGACTTCGTCGTCGATCTTGGTGTTGCAGGAGAGAGTACTGCCCAGGTACGGGAAGTTCGCCCCCACTTGCAGTTGGGTTCCGTTCACGCTGATTTGCGGCGGCGCGTTGAGGGCTGGGGCTGAGTTGGGTGGCGGTTGGTGCATCACCACAGTCTTCTTCGTGTTAATGACCAGCCCAAAGTTTTCGCAGGCGGCGGAGAACAGGTCCATGCTCCGCTGCATCTCCTCTTCCGAGGTGGTGATCAGGGCGCAGTCGTCGGCGAAGAGGAGTTCGTGGACGGTGGCTGTGGATACGCGCGACTGGAATTGCATCCGCCGTTGGTTCAGCAGGTGACTGTCCGTCCTGTAGGCGATGCGGATCCCGGGGCGTTCATCGCGGTAGGCGTCTATCAGCATGACTGAGAACAATTTAATTATCCGTAATATACCCCACACCGTTAATCCGACGCCATCAATTCAAAATTTTATACATTCGTGTGGCTTAAATATCAGAGTAGCTAACACGAAATGACTTCACTCCAGAAGCAAAAACAAACCCCTCTTAGTAACCTTCTACTCACAGGCGGAAGCTGAGATTGTCTTACAAAATGCCGAAGTAAATAGAAATCTGCTGAGCCCAAACTCGTTTATAGGTCCAGATTTGACACCTATGCAAAGACGTAAACTTCGGGAAAAAGACACCAGCTACAAATACGATAATCAGCACTCCAATCCCTCGACTGAACCTTTAGCCACTACTTCTGCTTCTTGCACTGATAAAAAGAAATACACAGGCCACCGTAAACCTCCCCAACTGAAACACCATTTAGGTACAATTACCACCTAGTTAACGCACCTCCCCATATGTACCCTCAGTCCATACACACTAGCCCATGCACTCACACTACGCCATACGCATCACAATATCCTCCAAGAATCACACATCTACCTCCATTTAGTCCATCACTCACTCAAAGTCCCCCCAGAAATCCTTTTTTTCACCACAGCCCACCTCTTCCATATCCAACATCCTAAAGATAGCTCTTATAAATTCCACATCGATTGTCAACAAAATAACCCAACTTAGAACTTTTGTTGAAATATATAACCCCGATGTAATTTGCATTACAGAAACATGGGCAAATGAGCTTATATCGAATGCTTCACTATATGTCCCAAATTATAATTTCTATCGACAGGAATGTGTTAATAAACGAGGCGGAGGTTGTCTAATCTACATCAAAACTAGCATTGAGCAAAGTGGTATTGATGTCCCAACTGAAACCTTTGCTGGAGAAGCGTGTTTTGCCACAATAAAATCTCATGCCCAAGAAAACATAGTAGTCGGATGCCTCTACTCCCCTCCAGAATGTAGTAATGATGACACCAGCCTCATCCGCTTAGTAAACGATATAGCTGACATAAAAACTGAATATAAGATAATTGCAGGCGACCTAAACCGCCCAGAAATAGACTGGGTCGAATTATCAGCACCTACCAGGCACGAAGAATTCTTGTCTTCAATTACCTTTAATAACTAGACACAAATAGTTGACAAACCCACCCGAGGAAACAATATACTAGACGTTATTTTCACCAACGATATCTGGCCCCTCTATATATACTACGACTGCGCAACCTTTGAAAGTGACCACAAAGCAGTAATATCAACACTCCCCTTAAACGCAAAACTAGCACCCCATTTTAGTAACACCCGCCTAAACCGAAAAAAAAACTTGACGAGGACTCCATGAACAATTATATCAGATCATTGGACTGGAGCCCATATCTTCTT